CGGCGCCGCAGGCAGATATGCAGATAATCAGGGCTTTAAAAATTTTTTTATACTTTCTACTTTATTTTTTTTTTTTTTAAGACCTCATTACAAATGCCTGTCACAAAGGAACCAGACTGGGTGGGAGATGATGTATTCGGAAGTTGCTTGGCTTCAGCACATCCAGAGCTCGCTCTCTCTCTTTTTTTTTTTTTTAAACTGCATTGAGTTTGTATCTTTTTTTTTCCTGATGTCTGCTGCTTTTTTTTTTTTTCTGATGTCTGCTGCTAGACACCGGTTTTGAGAAAAGTTGCAGTTCAAATAGAAGGGGAGAAGCACCAGCTTCTCCTCAGGCCTGCTGATTCTTTCCAGCTTTTCTTTTTTTTCTTTTTGGACCTTGCATCACCTTCTTTGCCCTACTGCAGAGCCCTGCAGCCAGTTACTTGCCTCTAGATTGCACATGGCAGTGCAATGAGCATCTTACACTGCAACCACAGGCCTTAGACTGAGGCAAAGCTAATCACATGGATAGAGCCGTCCTGCTTAATACTAACAAACAAGCTTAGTCTTTCCATGGCCTTTATGCAGGCAATAATGAGACCACATCTTCCAGGGCATGATTCAGAGTGGGAAGTTAATATGCTCTGAATGGCTCCCCAGGGACTTTTTTACCACTGATGATACAGGGAGCTTAATCTCCTACCCTAGGCAGTGGAGAGAGACAATGTAAGCATCTCCCTTGCATGCTGTAATGGTTGGTATCAGCCCAGCTGCTTCTGACTAATTGCTGTGCATGCCAGCAGGACCCACCTCCTGTTAAAGCATGTAACTCCAATGGGGGGAAGCAGGACAGCCCAAAAAGCCACTGGCTGTGGCACTTGTACTATTGCATGCAAAGGCCAGTGCATTGCAATGGGAGTGAGAAAAAACAGCTGAACAGGCTCACCAAACATTTAATCTTACAGCTATCTGATGTCTGTCCTTTGCTGCCCATAAGCTGAAATCTAGTTGCCAATGGGCCTGTGTCTGATATTGCTAAAGTAGAGGAGCAAGGACCAGTACAGCTGTAACTGCAGCTACCAAGGCAGAAACGCTGTACACGAGCAATCTCCTCGGGTGATATGGGGACCATTCAGCCTTCGGTATCAAAGCCACAGACACAGTCTGCCTGGTTGCTGGTCCCCAGAGCTGCTCTACGAAGCTTAGCTGTGCCCTGGGGCAGGCAGCTGGTAAGTCCCCACTCCAGTCTCGCGTCCCCTGCTCCCACATAACCTTGCCTTTACTCACCCACAGTCTCAGGCATCTGGGTTGTTTCATGAAGGCAGAGCTGATGTTTCCGAAGAGCAAAACACGTGACTCTGCAGGAGTGTTTAAAAGGAAGTGAAGGCATTTCAAAAAAAACAGCTGCTCTTCCTCTCTGCTTCCTCCCTCCCCCGAAAAAAAGAAGAAGAAGAAAAAAAGAATAAGACTATCTAATGCCCGTGAGGCAGGGAGTGCTGCCCTGCTGGCTGAGCCAAGCAAGCACTACCAGTGGGGCAGCAGGGCAGCATGGCAATGGGCAGCCCAGCTGCAAGCAGACACTGACTGGAGAGAGCTGTGTAGGGGCTCCAACCCCACAATGGAATAAAGGGCACTTGTGTAGAGAATCATCAACAAAATAACAAAAACAAAAAGCAAACCCCAAAACAAAAAAAAAAGTCACAAAGTACTGATATTGTGCTGAAAGGGATGGTATATACAGCTGGGAGAAGATGGAAGTACAAAGAACTAGAAGAAGGACCAGTCCCGTGGGGACCAAATGAGGTGACCAAGGCAACAGCAAAGGGCTACTGCCATATGTCCCTGAATAAAAACTTACCTCCTTATTCTTATAGAAGCAATTTAGGAGAAGGCTGCAGCCAGGCCTTGCAACAGAGAACATAAAGATTAGCTTTTTTCCTATGTGTTTGTCCTTCAATGTCAAAGTATCCAAATATCAACAATAAGGATCTAAAACTTCAGCCTCCACCCATTGCTATATGCGCAGGAAGACAACTCACTGCTGTTACGGGTTGCAGATCACCAAAGCCTCTCAGGACTAAGAACTCAGCAGCTGGAGACTACCTAGCCAGGAACTTGCATGCTGTGAACATGCAGACACTGCAATGGTTCATCAGACTCCTGACCAGGAGGCACCTTTTTGCCAGTACTGGCTAACAAAGGCAAAGACTCAGCATGGGCAAAGCCCTTGCTCAGACAGCCATGCTCACAGGCCTCCTCCATCTCAGGATAGTGGACACTTAACTGCTGCTCCATGAGCTGGATCGTGCAGGGGAGCGTTGCAGAGCTAAAGCACTGGCCTGCCTCAGTCACTTGCTAATGGTCACACAGCAGTTGGTATAAGCTACACATTTTATATTGCAGCAGGCCATTCAGTGAGCGGAAGGCCAAACATCCGAAGCATCCTCTTGATACTAGGGCTGGGCTGCCCACATG